CCTTGTAAATGCAGAGACCTATTAAAATAAACGAAAAATTTAAATAGCAGTTTGGTATTAACCTTAAATCTGAAATTAATAAAATTAAGTAATTAGATTTAAATTGTTTAAATCAATGTTAGGATAGAGCTGGTGATTAAAGAAAACGTACTAAACAAAAAAGAATAAAGCAACCAAGATATGCATGGCATCAAGCAATAAAGATAGTCAATTGTGCATCGTGGTTACCAGTGTTAGTTGTGCACAAAAATTCCCGGAAGAGAGCAAAGGTAACGTGCTCAGGCCAATACCTCCTAATTATCTAGACGCCCAAAGTGCTGAATATTTTGGTGTCTTGTATTTTGGAGAAATAAGTCGTAATTCAGGAACATTTTAAAAGAACATTTGTTGGCCTGGCAAGTATAGCAAAATGGACTGTAATAAAAAGTGGAATAAATGAAAAGGTATAACCATCAAAAGATAAAAGCAGGAGTTTACTAATTAAGGCCTCATCATATGATATTGAGATTACAAGTAAATTTAATGAAAAGAGCTTAGCGTGGTGATAGCTTAAATCTCAATTACAAAGTAATGCCGTTATGAAGTATTCAAAAGATACATGTTTTAATATCAAACTGATATTCTGGATATGAAGGTAGGTGCAACATAAAACCTATACTTTACCTTAAAAAAGTTTTTCAACCGGGCTACCGACTAATAGTGGGCATAAAAAATAAGGGCACTATTCACTCTAGATTGAATAAGGTGATAAATGCTTGAGGGTGAAGTTTCCCATATTGATAGTTTCGAAGAAAAAAAACTATCGATAAAAGTTGATATCATAGACAGCGCAAACTTAGTTTTACGTCAAAACTCTAAGAACCGAGCTAAACAAGGAGCGAAATAATGATACCAAAAGGCCTAGATTGGCTCATTTTTTGTTACGATATAGTCAAATGAGGGGTCCATGTAACTCCATCTCAAGACAGCAGTGCTTTAAAATAAATGCAATGACATAAACTTATTCAATATTCCTCTGCCACGACCAGGTTTCGAAAACTTTTGAAGTGTGATTAATGCCTATAGGTGTATTAAACTAGAGTTGATCTTGGGATAGAGTCTTTAATGACACAAGTTAGCTTCTAAACTAGGGTGAGACTGGCAGTTGATTTCCACCTAAGCATTTCTACTATCAGGCCATGGAATAACAAAACGAATAATGATGAAGGCTTTTCTAGCATTGGTCTATAGAGAAAATGAGATCAAATTAAGTCCATGCAACAAACACCAGTACTGGGGTGAGATTTGGGAACGGTCTGACCAATGAACCTATTCATACACAGATATGTTGATAAACGATTGAATACCTGAAGCTGTTTGTGTGCCCTTCATAGAAAATTGCCTATTGTCAACGAGTCTGATGGGAGCAAGGCACTCCGCCCCTACTGCTTCACGCCAATCCAGACCAAATTCGACAGATTCATCTCCTCCACTGAATCCGACTGCAGAATATCCTGTAGTGGATACTGTCTGTTGACCGGACCGGTCGCGCTTCGACCAACCACTGTAGTCAAGTCCAGTCAGTCCTGTCCTGTGGGAACCGGCCACACCCGTAGGTACCGCCCGCATCACTGTTGTGCTAGCATGCGGACCAGCACCGAATAAGCTGCGTGAGGCTGATCGAAGCCGGCCAACGCCAGGGGGTGTGCTTCGGTTAGCTGTGCCAGGGGACGTAGGCCCAGGTGAAGTAGAGGCAGAGGACATGCGACGTAGATATGCTTCAATCGGGTTAGTGGTAGCGGAAAAGTGAACAATATGCAGCGTCCGGCCAAGACAGAAACAGAGACGTAATGGCTTAATGGACCAGGCTGCCGCAAGGCAGGGGGACATGGGCACTGGTTCTTCAGTAAGGAAGTTAAAGGCATTCAGCTGAAAATGAAATAAGAATGATTAAAAGAGGAGATATAGTAAATTTGAAAAAGTTAAGGACAAATATATATATATATATATATATATATGAGACTAAGTTGGTTCTATGCGCTCTGTCCACAAAACCTTTCTAATTTGTTTTTACTTAGATTCTTTACAAGACCTATTATAAATAACTTAGATACTGATGAGGAACAAGAAAGCGGAAAGAATTCTTAATTTCTGTAATGAGCTAATTATGACAACTAAACAAACGTCCAAATTAATAGACATCTGTAAACTATTTTGAAAAGAGAAACGAGATGTTTATTGAATGGAAGTTGCTTGATCTTGTATTCGCAACTTAGTCATGTTGGCAGGAAGACCTAGGGGAAAGCAAATTGTCCGGAGTCCATAATATGCATGATCATTCCCAGAGCCGGACAGTGAACATGGACATTCCAAGACGTTGCGCCGGCATAGCCAGTGAGCATTGTCATTCTTAGAATCACACTACAACTCGTCAGAGACAAGTTAGGTCGATCCTTTGACCAATTGTCTACTAAACAGTTGTGTAATCTCTCAGACTGTCCGGGGCTATCCACCTATCTCATATCCTCTTATCAACCCTACAATACCACAATTTATTACTTGTCTATCCAAACCTATTCACACTCCCCGCTGGTTTCCACCTCCCTCCAACTCTGCCAGGAGTATTAATCCAAGGCTGCGGCTTAATCCCTGATCCTCTCCCTCCAGGTCCAATCAGAGTCCCTTCTTGTTCAATAGGATCACTCCCTTATCTGCCTGTTTCACTGAGTTTACTCCATTCCTGCTACTCAAGGCGTTATGTTCTACACTCTGCCTCAAGACTTTGATAGCGCATATACACCAGCCTCAATGAGGAAGTCTCTAAAGTCTGGATTCTCAAATAGCCTGACAAACTAACTCGACGCTGGAGATACCCTCATCACTTTGCGGCATGTGCATCGAGTAACTCTCGTGGTCGAGCCTGTACTTCATGGTCCAGGTCTATGAGTTAATTTATCTACTAATACCTAACTATCAATGATCAACACCGTTTCTCTCGCTCTTCTATCCCTAAGGCCAAGTCTATGACATTCTTAATCCAAGGTTCCTTGCGCGCGACCCCCAAATGTGATAGTTATACATTATTTGAATAGGCTCATTGTAGACGTCTCCTCTTGGTTTCCGATAATTCCTCTCTGGTTTCCTTGTAATTTCTTTTCCTAAAATTAAAATAACACCATTATACAGTCGTCTTCTTTTAGCTGGCATTGCTGTTTCTTGATCTTCTCCAAATTTGCTTAGGCAGTATGCAAGGTTTTCGCAAATCCTGTCTTCTTCAAGTCTCCTGTTCATTAGATTTCTTTAGGTCAGGATATCGAGGGCTTCTTGTATCTTGCATTTTCTTGTATTTTCATCATATGCTGTCAGCCCTTCTGTCGATTTTCATTCGATTTCGTACCCCGTCCGTGTGATGTGTTCCTCTATTTCGGATCCTCCAGTAACCATGCTTCAGCTTTGGTGTTCTTTGATTCGTAGGCTGAATTTTATTCTTGTTTT